CAAGTACTGAAGTGGTGCCTCGCAACACATTCCTCTGCAAAAACGGAAAACGGAGCCTATAAACTGTTGATCGGACTCTGCATGCTCTCGACGAGTTAGAGTGTCCATACAACTGGGCAGATGGGATTCGCTTGGGCAACTGGTTACCTCCAGACATTTCCTTTCGTGGCTAGTTACGCGAATTGCTGTGCAACCTCTGTTGTGCATTGTTGTGCGGAAGTTGTGTACCACAATACACAAGATTCGCTGGGAAGCCTTCTCATGAACCTAAAACATGTGGACGACGGAGTAGAGAATTGGACAACATATATAGGTATCTTAATTTATTGTCTTGATTGCAGGGTTAGAATTCTTATTGAACACCTGGAGTTCTTCCGTGCTCCTTGACCTCTTTACGAGAGCACCCCGAGCGGCCCACGAGCATCGTTTGCAATGTTTAAATTTGGTACGGAGCAGTTATAGCCTGGTGCAGCCTTCCTCATCGATCAGTGGCATTTCCAAAGGAACCTCGCCGCACGAGGGCCTGGAAACCAAGTGCGGATTTGCTGCGTTTCGGGGGCTCTTCTAAATTGTTTATTTGGTCCTCTTTCTGGGTTCCCATCGCAGCATTCAGTAGATCCTTTGATCTAAGGGACCACAGTAACCAGCCCGTGATATATGCTTGCTGAAGGTCATGACGGCCGTCTACTTTTGTGGTATGGCGGCAACCGTCGCTCGGCGATCTGGCCTTAAAGGTGCAAGGTACGCCCAAGTGTTGACGAGGTAAGACTCTTGACGGGGTTAATGCATCATATTCAGCTTTCTTCGTTGCAGTTGCCGGCTAACGACTGCGATTCATGTTGTTGGCTGAACTACAAGTATCTTTGCCGGTGTTGGCCTTCTTCTTTCGCTCTGACTCCGTAGCTGCACAGGGATAGTACAGTGGGAACCCATAGGAACTGCGCTTTCCCTGCATCTTGCCTCGTCGAGAAGATATGGTGCAAAGGAATGCATGAACACTACTTCCTCTCTCGCTTACACGCTAATGATTAAGAGCGAGGTCGTGCTCACCTTTGGTGTCTATGGGACACTGAATGCTGTGTGGGGTCCTCCGATGAGCGACCCGGCTTTGGGGCAATCCCAAGCTTCTGATGACTTTTTGTGGGGGTGTTGAGTTCTTTGAGACGTCCAGTTTGTATCAAGGGGCCCCCACGAAGATACCGGAATTCGCGCAACAACCAGGCTTCTTTAATCTTTAATTTCTGTGCTTATATAAACCTTAAAGTACAAGCCTTTGCGCCCTAAACTCGACATCCGAATCTGGCGGCTGCAGCGGGAGGCAATTTTGTCCCGAGCTTCGGCATCCTTTCTTTGAACATGGACTTTTTGTCCTTCTCCTGCGTGCGCCGGGGCCGAGTCAGGGGTTTAGGGTTGGGGTGGGGGTTGAGAGACCAGGGGGTTCGCTGGAGTAGGTTTGGGGCTAAGCCTACACCCTTAATCCAGTTCAGGAGAGCAGTGATGCCAGGAATGGTAAGGGGGGTAGAATGAGCTAGGGGTTCTGATGCTTGGCGCGCTCAAGGGCTTTAGAACTTGGGATCTCCCTATTCTTTCAAACCCTGAACCCTGCACAGACGCAGTGCTTCCGAGCTATGGTGACCCAGGATGGGTCGGAAGTCCTTCACTGCAGCTCTCGGGCAGCAAGAATGATGCATTCTGAGGGCTTCAGGCTATGGAGTGCTTTTCGGGAGGGGTTCAGGGTAAGAGTTGAGTGCTGAATTTTGGGGGCTTAGGGTTCAGGATTTATGTTCGGCCACCCTTAAACATGACTGTCGCCCTGTCCAAGCCAGGAGTACGTCGTGAAGCTGATTGCTTTCCCGATCCTCTGCCTGGTGGTCTTCGCAGGCTCCTTCCTGTTGCAGCACGTGCCGAGCCTGGGCACAGAGCAGTGTTAGACCATTGCAGGGTTTAGGGACGTTTAGGGCTTTGCGAGGGTTTTGTGGCTGCGGGGCCTTGGAGTTCCAAAGGATTTTCGGCTCGAAGCTCCAAAGCTCTGAGTCGGGTGTTCAAGGACCGAGGCTCTGGGGCTTCGGGCGGTACCGCATCCTAACATTCTGGGGCACACTTGGTGTATAAGAACATAGCGTTGCTGTCAAAGACCAAAACCCTGAAACATGCTGCGCACAGACTCTTGAACCTCAAGCCCCAAACCTCTTCCTCTTGCGGACGACTCGCAGATACCCCCAGCAGCCGCCTACGCTCGTGAGGAAAGTGAAGCTGTATGCCTCGTTCAATTTCCCAGCGATGCTCAACACTGCAGGAGACTTGTTGGGGATGGGCGGATGTAGAAAATGTGCTTGACCTGAATGGTTAAACTCTGGTTTTGGAGCACTGTGGCTATACGTAGTTGCATTGCGGACTTAGTCCGCATATTGAAATTCCGGGCAGGGTCTTTGGTAAACTTGGTAAACTTCCAAGGTTTAGGGTTTAGGGTCCAGCATTGGAAGCGCGTGACATGCATGACGGTCCTGTGACGGATCGTGACGGTGTGATGGTGGGAGAGGCATCCTGAGGCCGAAGTCCGCCGAACACGATCGACATCCGTAAAAAAGTTCTAACCGGCACAAAAACCCCTAGACCCCACCCTCGGAACCGCTTAGGGTGGGCAGGGGGCGGGGGGACCTTGAGAGCAAAGACTTCCTTCGTGTGAAGGGCTGGAGCAAAGTTTAGGGGTTCCAAAAGCGTAGAAGCCAGGCTTCTTATGGACTAGCCACATAGCCGTAGACCCCCTACCATCCCTACCCAAACAACTCGCTCCGGGTCAAGAACCGATCCATCAAACATGTTCGGCTCTGTTTGGGCTCTGTTTGGCACGAAGAACAGGGTCAACTGCGAAGCTCAAATTTGTCAAACCCAACAGCCGCACGGTTTTCTGCAAGAGACAGCTGACCCAGTCAGCTTGTCGGAGGAGTCTTGGCGTTTCTAACGACGGATGTCAGAACACGCCAGAACAGCGTGTCGGGATGAGGGGGTGGATAACGTGTGCCCATTCATCGTTCTGCACCCCCTCGGGTCGTTCTCAGCGGCTCCTAGGGCCTAGGGAGTGAAGGAGGTCATTCGCGACAGATGTCGAAAGCGGGGCCCAAGACGATAGAGGCTTGGGGATGAGGGCCTAGGGGGTTTGTGGGTGGGGGGTTTCAGGGGTTTAAGGGTTAGAAGATGCGGTTTATGCGTCAGGGTTGGATCTGCTGGGCAGGATTCCTGATGTCGGCCGTGTTCGTCTCAGCACCTCGATGAGATGTTCTGGAAGAGTCTGAGTTTGCTGGTTCGACCTGTCGCCCGAGTGAACCAGGAAGCCTGTGCGGGCAGACTGGCAGACTTTTTCGGATTGTAAACCCCAATGAGCCCCAATACTCGTCAATGCGGACGGAGAAAACGTCGGGCCAGCTTCGATTCCAAATCTGAGGGTTGAACCATGCATATGGCTCCTTGGTGGAGGGCAGTTCAACCAGCAGAGTGCTCATTCATTCGTTGTTAGTAGTTTTGGGTTCTTGGTTTAGGGTCTCGAGTTTTAGGGTTGTTGCATGCTTTTGCTTGATCTCTCATGAATAGCTTGAGGAACCTGTCTTCTCTTGAATACCTTGAGATGGCTGCTCCAATTCTCAGATGTGCAAGACACCACAAATTTCCTTCCTGACCATGCCCGGCCCAAGCCCTGATGCAAAAGGTTTCCAGGTGTGCGGCAGGGTTTAGGGCGCACCCGAGCGCCTGTGAGAGACAGAGGATTTAGGGCACAGTCCGAACCCTTCAAGCACGGCGCCTAACGGCCTCGGGAAGGATGCTTCGGGTTCCAGACGTTGGGTTGACAGATGCTAGTTTTGGTTTCATCTAGTGCTTAACTCATGAGGACATCCAGCAACAGCCCTTGATACCAAGCCGCAGAGGAGTCTGGGAAGAAGAGCAAGCACGCAAACCAGACACAATTTCCCACAAGCTCGGAGCACCCAGTCCTTTCTGACTCTCACTCTCTCTGTCTCTTCTCCCTCTTTTTTTTCTCTTTTCTTGCTCTCTCCTTCTCTTTCCTCCTATACCGCCAAACCCCTAAACCGCAAGAACCCTGCGAACGTCTGCGTATTCCAGCCCACGAGGTTAGCTTAATGAGCCTGGAGGGCTTTCGCTGCAAGACGAACCCGTGCCTTGGCTTCGAAAGTTTTCTGGGAGCCGTGTCGAGGCGAAGTTCCGAAGGGTGCGAAGGATGCGGGTTTAGGGTTTTGGGAATTGTAGGCTTTTGAAACTCGCCTGTGGCTGTTGGAGCATTCGGCTAGCAAGCAACCAGGCGACTGCATCCCGATTTGCAGGGAGGGATCGGGATGAAGGTTTGATGGGGATGCCCGTACTCGTAACTCGTATGTCGAGGTCGAGGGCTGAGGGGCGTGAAGGCGTACTTTGAGGCTCAAGCAGGTGACAGGTTTATGGAATTGACTAGAGTTCCCTGAAGACATCAAGCCCTCCGACTCCAACCCCCAAACCTCAAAGCCTGGAACCTCCACACACAAGACGTGAAAGTCCGTGAAAGCCTTTAGAAGCCAGTCGAATTTAAGTCCTAAAACAGCCCTAATCCACAAACCGTGGCCCAGGAATGGCAAGGCTCTTCTGCAAGCCTTTGGTGCCACACCGAGTGTGTCGTACTCGTAGGGGAAATCCCCAGGGTCTAGGATGGTCTAAGTCTAGGAGTCTATGCGGCTTGGGGGTGGCTCCGGATTCGGCTTTTTATGCGATTTCGGGATTCGGCTCTCCCAGCGGAGGCTTCAGGCCCCAACAGCAAACTCCCCAGAGACTTGGAACCCCGAAGACCGTGTCGAGGTGCCATGGTTTGCTGGGAGGGCGGCGAGCACGACGTGCTGATCGCACTGAGCGCGGCCTTGGTGTGCAAGGGATGGAGAGCTCATGGGATATCGAGTTGTGAGCTGATAGACTTTGCCGGTCGTATCGTCGTTTCACCAAACAGCGTTGTGACACCATAACCGTTTATTGCGTAGTTATCGAGAGGACTAGGGTACTGACAACGTGCCGCGGTTTGGCAAATCGCCAAACGTCGAGATCACGTGGCAGCTTTCTGGCCTGCCGGCATTCTGGACCGGATCCGTTGATGCTCCGGTTCAATGGCGTTTTGCATTTCACGGCATGGGTGATCGTGTTTTCGCCTAGCTCCAGTGCGCAGGATCCACAGTGTAGAGCTGATCTCAGTGGCTCAGGGTCGTGGTTAGGGTCTGAGATCTTTTAAGCTTGCAAAGGCGTGGCTGGCTGAAGCCCTGAACCCTAACCTGAAAGCCATCCAGAAACTGCCTGGAGCTTCGAGTCCAGGCTTTCTCAGGCTAGCGATCGCACTGCCCCGCTCGGGGCACCTCCATGGGGACCATTTCCTCCTGTCATCTCCTATTGGTTTTCATAATCCGGCTTGACTTCGGCTTCAGGGTTCTAAGTGCTGCCAGAGGCCAGGTTAGGGAAATTCAGGGTCTACAGGGTATACATAGGGCGAGGTGCACTGCAGTCCCTCCCCCACAGCAACAGGGCGTTTCTTTGTAAGCTCTGTAGGGTGGCCCAGCGACGTGCAGAAGGCTACATCCGACGGCCGAGGTGGTGGCGATCCTTTGCTATCCGGTCACTTATCTCACTTTCACAGGCCAGGCATGTCGATTGCGAGAGCTCCATTGAAGGGAGGTGGAGAACGCCAACAGAATTCCATCGATAGCCTCACGCGTCAACTTCAGACCCCTTCGGCCTGCTTCGAAAGAGCCGCGGTAACCCTCGTGGTAACTGCTTGTGTGTTCAGGCTTGGCCCATTTGCAGAACTTGAGTGTAAGGTTTAGACTTTCATGAGCAGATTGCTGTGCAGAGCGCTTCTGTCTGTATCGCGGTACATAACCCTAAACCTCCTTCCGGAAGGCATTGCCTCGTTCTGCTCCGGGCCCCTGTCGGTGAAGTATGGAGTGCGGCATCTTGGCAGGGGGTTTTTGGGTTTAGGGTTCAGGGTGCTGCATAAAAAGCGTTTTGGGTGTTTAGGGTTAGGGTTTGAGAGGGCTACGGGTTTGGGTTTATGCTAGTTAGGGCCACAGCATATCTGGATCTCGAAGTTTGTATTTCTTTATGGAAGGGGGGGGGGGGAGAAGGGTGGCGCGTCAGGTTATCAGGACCCATACTGGCCCTTGACAATGCGACCTAGAGAGACTCGAGGAATTTCCCCTCTCCAAGTAGTTCTGGCCCCAAAACTTCCAAACCCAAAAGCTCTAGAGGCCCAGATCCGAGCTCCCCAGTACGAGAGAAACCCAAGAGGCCTTGGAAAGCGCCTAACTTCAACCCGGCTTTGACTCTATAGAATTCGAATATAGATGGTAATAATGCCCCTTCATTCTCAAGTACTCTTGCTGGGGGCCGTCGGTAGGCTTCATGAAGCAGGTTGGGATTCAGGTTCTAGGGACCGTCAGAACCTAACCAGGTTCACCTCAGCCATCCGATTCCTTTCCGGGAGGATGAAGCCCGTGGCTCGTGCAAGGTTTCAGTTTTCTGATACAGTTCGGGAACGCCTCTCAGAGTCTTTCAGTCTTCGTCTCAGTCAGTGGCCCGTGGTCGGTGTATGTCGGTGTGGTGGTTGGTGTCTCGACCACGCGTGTCGCCGTCGGTATCCCAGTTTTCTGGTTAGTGCCTTAGTCGGTCTGTCAGTGGGCATCCTGGTCGGCGTCCCTGTGCGGAGGTCTGGAGCTGATACTCATAATTGAAGTTTGAGAACGGGGCGAGCAGCGAGTGAAGTACCACTGAAGTACCTCAACTTAAACCCTTCGGCTGGTGATCCAATCGTAGGTGTCCAAAAGCGTGGCTGTGCGCTCAGGGCAATGCCGGCTTTCCGCCACAGGGATCAAGGTCTTGCGATCACACGTGCAGTTGTTGTGAACTGCTTGTAGCTCTGTGTCTCCAGGTCCATTGTGTCCAGCAATGAAGTTAAACATCCCGCAAGTTCGATACTGCTGCTGCTGCTGCTGCTGCTGCTGCTGCTGCTGCTGCTGCTGCTGCTGCTGCTGCTGCTGCTGCTGCTGCTGCTGCTGGTGCTGCGACCGCAGACAAGTCTGTGTTACGTCTGGTACTATGAAAAGAACGCACTGTGCAGCGAAGGTGCGAAGAAAGACACGAGGACATGCGATAATTAGCCAAACGTGGCGGAGGAACTATACAGAGGGTCGGACGTCAATAGTCGGCTCATTGGCTGACACATGAACGCTGTCAACGACCACTGAGGACAGGAAGAAACCGTCCAAACTGTGCAAGAGATCCTGCTCAGTGAGTGCAGGAACATCTTATCTGTACTGGATGCTGGGAAGTCAAGGGCAGCAAAGGCCCCGGCAGCCTGATGGCTGGCAGGTGTGCAGCACAAAGATCTTTGTGCGAAACCTCCAAGGAAACCACTAATAATCCCGTTGTTCCAAGCATTCGGGATGGTCATGTTGGACGTGTCTCAGAACGCGACTCCTACGGGCATGACGTGCCTTCCACTGCCGCTGCTCCTTCGGACTTCAGGTGGTGAACAGCAAAGCGGTGCGCTCTGAGCGCGTGGAAGGTGAAGGAAGTTGTGCACCCACGAAGCATCTTCTTTTAGCTCGAGAGCTCTGAGACTGTGAGGAGGGCAATCAAAGTCTCCGGCTGGAGCATGGTGCAGTGGGCAAAGTGGTGGAGCCTTTCACACTTTAGGAAGGAGGAAAGGGTTGCATTGTCATTGTCGCCTTGCAGAGCTCAACGGTGTAATCCCTTCCCCTAACAATATTGCTCCCCTACTAATATGAAAATCCCCCTGGCCTGAAAACCCGATCCCGTAGCGGACCCTTATTAAACTAAGGGGGTGGTTAAGGGGGGGGTCGGAAGCCATTGCTCCTAAACCCTGACTCTGACAACCCGAGACCCTGTCGAGTTTAGGTTTAGAGAAGGACGGGCTGTTTGTTCGGACAAAAGATAAGAACCCACCCGCCCGTAAAACTAAAACTCCTTCGGGGATTTGTGCGTGGTCACTGCCTAAATCCCCGTTTCTCAAACAGTCGGAAAAAGACTCAGGTTTCAGAACCGAGCGTGCGCTTTCACAGAGAATGTGTGGCGTCTCAGTCGGATTTTCAACCTTTGTTCCCAAATTGTCACACACACACACACACGCCTCCGCTGGGTTTAAGGGTGGGATGGGTTGAGGGTGGGTTCTGGTGCTTCGGGGGTGTGCAGCATCAACCCTTGCACAGGGGGTTTGACCCTCAAAGGAGTACGTCATGTTTGGCTTCTGGTGGAATGCACGGCGGCCCAGTCTTTGGTGAGTTTTTTGCGTTCGCGCTCCAGAGCTCCGGCGGTTGGGTTCGTTACTTTGTTCAGTCGGCTAGGAGACGGGAATGGCTTTGGTGGCCTAAGACGTGGGTTGGATCTTTCTTTGAGGTATCTGTTGAGTGGGTATGAGGTTTGGTGTACGGGCATTGCTTTTTGTCTGCCTTTGTGACTGTTTGCAAGCTTGCATTTTGCTAGCTTGGGATTTCAACGGCTAAGCGGCTAAGCCCAAAGAAAAAGCCTGAGCTTCGGATCTGGAAGCTATAAGGCCTGATTCGTTCAACAAAGGGATGGTTGGGTTCATAGGGGCTGCGCCGCGCTTCGCCTCAGTAGCGAAGCACATTGCGAGACTATCGCGTCAAGGTGAGGAACTTCATGATCTCCCTTGCGCCGGTGGTAGCCAGCAACAACTACGGGGCCCAGGCCGCGCGAGTCATACCTAGGGGCCAGGGCATGAAAGCAGACAACCCTGAGCCGGAAATGGGTTTACAGGGGTTGCTTGAGGCCTGCGCCATCCTCTAGAGGATTCAAGACGTTTAGCCGAAGCTTGAGATGCCACTGAACCGACAACTAAGCTCTAAGGTCACGGAACCTCAGGCCTGAACCCGCAAACTTTTCTTTTCTTAGACAAGCCCAAGAATCACTCTGTAGTCTGTACCTGGAAGTCGCCCCTATAACGGCCCTGCTCCGGTCCAGCTTCATCCCCAGATCATCCTCATCACGGCCGTTTTTCTCTTGTGGCTCATCGGCCAAGTGAGGCGTGGCAACCTCCAAGGTTCTCTAACTTGACCATCTCTCGCATCGGGGCTAAGAGGCCTGGGAGACCAAGCCCCCGAATCACCCAGACCTGAACCCCGAACCTTGAAGCCTGAAAGTTCTCTGCAACCTCATTAAACCATGCTTGAGCTCTGCCTTGCTCATCGCATTTATCGCATTTGAAATGAAGCTCTGAGAGCGAACTTGAAAAGAGGTCCCAGTGTTGGCGCTTCGAGCTTCTCAACCTCTTAGACATGATCGCCTGGATCTTAAAACGTTGAGAAACGTTGCAGAACTTTTTCAATCTGTGAACGCCTTGAGGTTTGGTCCATGGGTTTGGGCTTGCGCTTCAAGCTTCAGGGTTGAGATGATTTTGCAGAATGTTGCAGTTGTTGTTGGCGGTTTTCCGGGATTCCGGGACGAAGGTCGAAAGCATCAGTTCTTGAGGTCAGCGGCGTGCAGGTCATGATGCTTTTGCTGCAGCTGGGCACGCATATAGTCCTGAGGGCAAAGGCTGCGGGTGACGCATGTGAGGCGCAGCCCGGAGCCCCATACCGAAGATCGGTTTGTAAGACTCAGACAATACAAATGGCAGCCTTAGCCTTTTGCACCAAAACAAGCGGCATAGCAGAGCATGGTCCCACCTAACCCTAGGTCCGGAGTTGCGTTGAGTTTCAGTTCCGGGCTTCAGGGGGCTCGAATGGCGTGGAACTCAAAACCTTGAGCTGAAAGCGCCAACCCAAAAAGCCCTAAACCCCGAACCCTGCAAAATCGCAACGTAGTCTGTCTCTGTGTTGTTGCGTGTGCGTGCGTGTGCATGTGTCTCTTTGCACGCACGCGTGCGTGTGCGTGCGTCTTGAGCCGACAAGCAAGTCGAATGCTATAAGCGAGTATAATCTCCGAAGCTGCTGCTCGGAGA